CTCTCTCTCTCTCTCTCTCTCTCTCTCTCTCTCTCTCTCTCTCTCTCGTCTCCGAGCGTTTGTTTCAGAATGCCCTGAGTGGGTGGTGCTCAATTGGATTCAGTGAGCCATTAAAGCTGTATCAATGCAATATTTCATCGAACAGCGAATCTCTGACGTCGCTTTGGTTTCTCAAATGTGCTGCGGTGTGTGATGTGCGGAGCGTGCGAGAGACTCCGGGGATGAGTGACAGGCGGAGGAGGGGGAGGCGAGGTTAGAGGGAGATGCTGCGGAGCATCGAATGACAGATGTGCAGATGTGCGTCTGTGTTGCGTTTTTGTAGGGAAGAAGAAGGGGGGGGAGGGGGGTAATGCTCATTAAAGCAGCGCACCTGCAGCCTATCAAAGAGCCTTTATCTTTTATCAAGGCAAATCTGCTCAAGCGCGCAGCGCGAGACGTGAAAAGAAGCAGGCCGCGCTGCACGCTCGGTCTGACTCATTCTCTCTGTGCGTCTCCTGACCAGGGGATGGTACCTGGCCCGGTAATCCTGTCAGGAATGCGCGAGGATGCGTTTAGATGCATTTGGCCGAGAAATAGAGGCAGCGCTTCCAGCTGGAACATCTGTGCAGAGAATGTCACTGTGATATCTTTAGCCAACAGGAGGGAGTCACACCGTAGATTATCTGTAAGGCTCTACTGCAACTATATGTGCACTCTGATCACGTCTAAATACAGCCGTGATATCAGGTCACAGGACATTTGAACTTTGCTAAACTGCATCTTCAAACAAAACTTGGATAAACTGGTTTGGAATACTTTTTTCCTCACAAATGGAACGAGTCAAAAAAAAAAATAAATAAATAAAGTCTCTTATTTACTTCGAAGATTTTAGAATATCATTCTAAAGCACTTTGGATGCTTGTGATTGCTCTTCTTAATGTGTAACCAGTATGTCAACTGTGTGTTTGGTGTGCATTTCTGTGTTTTTGTGCATGATCATATATTCTCTTATGCAAAAGGATTTTGATCTCAATGACACTACTTGATTCAATAAAATCTCAGAATAATAAATCAGAAATTATAGCTGCAACTAATGATTATTTTCATTATTAATTAAAATTTGGATTTTTTTTTCTCCTTTTAATCAATTTAGCATTTAGTTGTTGACTGACTAAACAATTAATTGACCAATCATTTCAGCATTAACATATATTCATTGATATATACGCTGACTTATTTGACCTGTTAGGGCCAGGTTCCAACATACAATGTTAATAACAGTAAGGGTGGAAGAAGTCACTGGATAAATCATTTCATTGGCAGGGGGATTGTGTGTGTGTGTGTGTGTGCGTGTGTGTGTGTGTGTGTGTGTGTGTGTGTGTAACTGTGCTGATACATAGCAGTTCACTGGGGTGGAGACACAGCGCTTCATATTAAGTCCATTTGTTTGTGAGCGTGTTATGTTTTAATCCTCTGTAGACTTATATCTGCATAATGATTTTGACTAATGCATGATCAAATGTAGCTCTTATCTTGAATATTTTGTGACAGATGTATTCGTGTGGTGTAGCCGCCTGCATAATGTGTGTAAACTAGCAGACTGGCTTTTCCACACAAATGATGACGACAGCGCGGGTGTGTTAGGAAGTGATGCCAGATTGACGTGAAGCTAAATATTTCCATATGATGCAACTTTTTGTAACATTTGCAGAAGTGTATGTGGCAATAATTCCAGTCAGTCAAAATAGATCTTACAACCCTGACCACAGTATACATCAAATTACATCCCATCCACCGAGCCGGTCCTGCCATGATGTCTAAACCAATGACAAGGGGACACTGTTGGTTAAAAATGACACTGAATGGAAAATTGCATTTAGCATTTTTTTGGATCGCTACCAGAAATGCATCAACTTTCCACTTTTCATGAGCAATAAAGTGGTCCACATTTCATATGAATATACCCTGACTTCTCTCTAACGGGTCTTTTTTTTCTTCCTGTCCTGCTTCTGCTGCCCTCATCAGGAGGCCCGTGAGGCCTCTGTGCTGCTGGGTCTTCGGCTCTGGTGTTGACAAGATTCCTGCCATAAGAATGAGTGAACATGTTCTCCAACACGACTTGATGAGAAAAACAGACTCCTCACCATATGAAACCTACCTCTGCTTTTGGACAGCCGTGGATGTGGTCCATTAGCTTCCCAATATTACATTTTCCACTTTATTTTCAATTTTCACTCACTGCACAATGCAGTATTGCTGTTTTGGGGGGTTTTGAGCCGCCTTGCTGTACAGCTGTGAATATTACTCTCCTCGTTCAGTCAATTAAAAAAAAAACTGCTCTAAATAACAGACTAGACAGAGGTCAATCAGGATTATGATAATAGTTGACGGTTGGATAGAAATCTGCGTCTACCGCATCTCCTCCCCAATGAACCTCATTCTTCGTTCACTTCTGAGAATTTGTGTTGTGTGTATAACGAAGTGTGAAATAGTGAAACCATGTTTCACAGAATTGCACGACAAGTTTTTTCTAGTAATCCTCAAGCATTGCGCTCATGTTCTGTTTTCACTTCCCTTTTCCGATTAAAAATACTTTAACAAATCTATACATATCTCCAGACTGACAGTCAAAGCTTGTACTGTATATGACTTCCGTGTTGTTTTGCAATAAGCCCCCCCCCCCCCCTTTCTGTCTTACAGTAGCTCCATGGTGCAGCTGTCCACCATGCCGAACATTCTGCCTCGGCTGGCCAAACCCCGGCACACCACTGAAGTCCTTCCAGTTTCTAGCTAGGAATTCTCTCCCTGTCTGGGGGAAAAGTCCCCAATAATATGACCTATATAGCCCCCAGTTTTCCTTTGCCCGCCCTACCGCACCTCTGCAGCTTTCCTGACAACACATGAGCAGCAGTCCCACTTCGCATAGCTGGTCCTCGGTGGGGTTTCTGTGGCTGGCTGGAACTAGAATGTGAAACTGAGCAGCTCAGACAGATCTTTGGATCTGATTAGTGCCGGTTTGTTCTGTTGCTCTTGGATGCTGAGCTTTCCTCCGGACACAGGGATGGATGAGGCACGGTGAGCCACAGACATATGGCTGAGGGAAACCTCGTAAGGCCAAAGGTCACAACCTAACCTCCTGGCCTCTGGTTGATTTATAATCCCATGGGGTGATGTCGCCCTGCTCAGACCGAACTGAGGAGGGGTCAAAGGGCGTACTGTATCTGTTGTTAAAGGTTGCATAGAAACCCATTTTTCTTAGTAAGGGATAAGTGGATGCAGAGGGCCCTGAAAACAAAGCTTTCTTAAGTAACGATAGGGCTTAATTAACAGTGATTATTTTCATCTAAGAGGTGCTGTTAGGCTCAACATGAATAGCGGTGTCTCATGTCTCTTGTTACTTAATCTTGACCTTACCTGCTTTCACACCGAACTGCCTACACACAAACATTTACGTAAGCCAACAATAATTCTACAATACAAACTGAATGTTTTTCTTCCAGGCAACTCCCCTTCAGTTCCTGTATGAGCTGGGTATTCTTTTTAATGTGGTAGCACATTACTACTAGTAGGATCACAGGTGTGTGTTTATTGGATGTTTTATGATGGCTATGAGCCAGCCCGTCAGAATTAACTGGAACAGTATATTTTATGCTTGAAGGCCAAAAATGGGATGGTCAAATATGCAATGGTATAGAGGTGCATGGAGGGCAAGGAGCTGCACCAACTGTCCTCCAGACAACTGCTGGCCTCAGCTATTTAGGGACAACTCCTGACAGAGGGGCTGGCATCAGCTGCTGCTGACATTGTTTGTCACAATCCTGGTTGATGCGATACACACACACATGCACACACACCTGTTGACCCATATCTGCTTTCATATAGCACTGCTGGGCCTCTATGCCTGGGTCTCTCTAGACAGGTGGCCTCCAAGCACCCCCATGGTGGCCAGGCACGGCCTCACTGCCTGACAACTACCACCCGCTCACCAGCCACAGCCTCCCAGCTGAGCCTGTTTGGCAACTTTTTTGACATGGGAGCAACAATAGTTACTGCTCTCCTGGATTTCCAGCCTGACAACATTCGTGCCACATATGGCTTTGTTCATTTCTGAACTTGACACAGCTCCTTTGACACATCTACTTTTTATGACTTAATCTGTAAAATGTTTAGTGGCTTAATTACACATTGAACAGACAGAGCAAAATTAGCATTCAGGTGGACTTGTGTTTGCATCAAGCTGACAAGTCCGATATTCCCTCCACTTGTAGCTTTGTTTTGTTCTCCACCAACTCCTGAGGGAAAGAAATATCTGTCCCTTTAGCTGCCAGATGCTTCATTATGTTCACCAGCTAGTCGTTAACTTTGTCTGTGTGCGGTCTAGTGTTGGTCAGTTAGTGTACATTGGTTTTATCAGAGCTTTTTCACTGAAAACAGCTGCTGCGTCTGAATCCGATACTGCTGAGAGCAGTGAGAGTAACCCAAAACAGTTATGTTGACGGTCGTAAGCCCAAAACAAAGAGTTAAAATACTCTGAAATGCAAAACAGAAGGAAATCGCAGGGTCAGATGATAATTCTCTGTTGATTTGAGCTGTAATTCTTTTTTTTAATTAACAATAAATTATATGAGTCTGTAATGTGTAAAGGCTGCTATTCCTACCTGACATTCCCGTTATAGAGAACACGTCAGGATGCAGGACTTTTATTTGCTTTACAAACCAAAACAACAATAAACCAACCCGATGACAAGCCACATAAAACCATTGGCCGGCAGCCTGAAACTTCACATGAGCTAGTTAAACATTACCTGCCCAGTAAAAAAACAGAGAGTTGAATTGCTCAAGTGAGTGGTAAGGACAGTGAGCTGGGGAACCCAACTGGGATTTAACATGAGTGAAGATTTAGATTCAACAGAAACAGGATTCCATAGAACATATTGCTTTGATTCTGATGCAGTTTATTCTAATAATGGCTATTTTCATAATCTGATGTGTAAACTGTAAAAGTACCATACAACAAATCTGTGTGATTTCTGTGTTCTACTAGCCTATTTACAGCAGCATAAAGAAGTTCTGTTCTATTTTGAGCGTGGCTCAGGTGGCAGAATCGACAAAGCTCAGTGAGTCAAGCCTTTCGTGACCTCGCGGAGTCCAATCTCTGCATATACTCTGAGAGACTGCTAGATGTCATCGTCCAGCGTCTGTGACAGTGTGCCCCTTATATTCTCCTTTCAACTGCTTCCTCAGATTTTTTTAGCTTGGTGCTTCTGTGTACTTCTGAGATCAAACTGCCTTTTGAAGTGGTAGTCTCTCTCTTCTCGCCGTCTAGTCTCGAGATGAAAGAGGAGCACGGGGTGACACAGAGTGGCCGCCGCAGACGGAGGTAGCCATTGGGTCTCTGTTTCTCCCCTTTCTCTCTCTCACTCTCTCTATCTCCCTGCCAAACTCCCCTCACAGTGATAGAAACCAGAGGAGGACAAAAGGCAGCGGAGCACTGCGGCCCTCCGGCCCATGTAGTCTCTCTGGCTAATTGAAAATGGCTTTGCTCTCCCCTTTGCTCTCTTCCCCTCACTTATGCTCCTGCTGTCCTCCTCCTGCCTCTCCCCCTTCTCTGTCTTTCTCCCCCTGCCTGTCCACCCCTCCCCCGGGGATGACCCTCCCTCCTTCCTCCCCGCTCTCTCTCCCTCTCTCGCTGCGCTGGACCGTGCTGATCTTGGGACATCCCCAGTATTTTTTGGCCTTTGAAGGCAAATATAATTGAGTGGTAATATGAGATGTATTCTCTTTTTCCTCTGCGTGCCTCCCTCAATGGGTTCTGGAATATTGAAGTTCAAAGTAGGTGCGGTGAACATGTTATTTTTCCTTATTCTTACCAATTCGTGGTGATTGCAGTGTGAAAGGAATTTAGTGAAATAAGGAGATTTTAGTTGGATGGAAACTCCGGCCCATGGCTTACCTTGACCCAGCTCGGCTTGAGCTTGGAACGAACGGCCCCCGAAAATCTATAAGACATGTTTCACCCTCCAACGAAAGCAAATCATGGAATAGACGAGCTGGTAATCAAATTCCTCCCAAGCCAAGAGAGCAGACCGGAGCATAATGAAATGGAGTTTTTATTATTTACAGAAGAGCTACAGTGCAGAGGCTGTGTGTGTCAATATCGGTGGCAATAATTTCCATCCATCTGTACAACAGGAGCCTTGCTCTGTCTTTCTCATTGCTCCAACAAGCAGACATGTTCCAGGTTGATCTTTCCACCAGGTAATAAATACAGTACAATAAGGCAATGTTTCTATTTACAACTCTTAAAAAACTGTACAGGAGTGTCACAAAACTAGAGTGCCTTTGAAATACAACCATTTTATTCAATGTGGGAAAGATAATAGCTATTTCTTTCGATCACGGCAAAGATATGAAAACATACTGTATACTAGTGCAGAGAGAGAATGCCTGTCTTCTTTCCCCTTTCCTTGTTCACCCCTATTTTGTGTGAGCATCCGTCTCTTTGGGAGTGTGCATGCTATAATTACGGGAGGCCTTTCATACAGTAGCTACATAGTTGAGTTATTCTTTATTTTCTACTTCCTACATCGGCATCCCATCAGATAAAAACTATGGGAACAAGTGAGAGCATTGTCTTTTAATTTCAAACGTGTGCTCTCAGTGGTATCCTGATATTTCCAAACCTTTCACACAGAATTAGTGCGCCTGCTCCTTAAAGCTTACTGTTTAAATTCTGCACATTTTCCAGTGTTTCTTTTCATTAGTCGCTCACAGTGAGTAATCTCCTCTTACCAGGAATTCAGCACTTAATTAGCTCTGCAGAGCAAAAATAATCAGAGCTTTAATGGGGCAAATTTATTTCAAATTGCACACAGCAGCGTGAGCCCCCTGAAGAGGGTAATAGAGGATATTAAGCAGGGTGGAGTGAGTAGTGGTGCTGTTTGAGACTGATATATGCATGAAAACTCTCAGTGAAAATCTTGAAGCAAACTGAGAGACCATGCCATAACTCTAGACTTTTTTCCTGTAACGCAGCACCCTGTCATGGCAGTTTGCTTATTTTCATTAGCTTCAATGTATCCGTAAATCAGCACCACGTTAGCCACTCACCCCAGACACATTTGTTCTTTCGAAGTCAACAGATAATCGGCCCTTCCCTCCTTGTGTTATTCGATCACTACAAACAAACACCCACGGCAGCCTAAGTACAGTTAGTCCTGATGGATATGTGGCTATGGAAATAACCCTGTTGTGTACTGGGTGCGGATGGTGCCAAGATAATCAGAAGGATTCGAGGAATGCCTCGGCCATGGCTGGACTCTCACTTTTTCTCTCTGTGTCTTTGGGGAACCGGGCGCTTTGATTGCATTACAACTTCATTACTGGGTTAGTTAGCTTTGGAATAATATTTGGAGTAGAGGAATGCAGCTCAATGACAGGCCACACATAAATTAACATTGTCTGACTAGTGTGATTATGAGGCTAATGTAGGGAAATAAATCCATGTAGCCTGTCGCTGCTTGAATGACTGTGTCCTGCAGTGGAAGACTCAGGGCCCACAATGGTGGTATAGAAGAGAATGCAACATTTAGTCAACATGAAAAAGACCCATAAAGGGGCACAAATCGTCAGAAGGAAGGGGTCAGTTAGCCTTCTTTCTACACCACGAATCCCACTCTCAGTGGTACTCTTGGCCTCATGTCCAAGAGCAATGCAGCTGCCAAGTGGACAATTAAAAGTTATTCTCTTCTCACTCTTCAAAAGTCAATTTTGGATTGCAAATAAAAGAGAGGGTTTTGGAGAATCGAGAAAATGAATTTGCAGGCTGGACCACCATGTTGAGGGTTAGGCTGGTCCTTTATTTCTCCTTTGGTGATGACGACATCATCCTAGTTCGACCAAGGCTGCGACATCAGAGCTCCTCGTCGATGCTGATACCCATGCGTTTCTGGATGGTCACCCTGCGGATGGAGGGCTGGGATGTCAGTTCCGGCTTGGGCGGAAACTGCTCCATCAGGATCCGCAGGATCGAGTTCATATTCTGGTCCATCCGGTGAACCTGGATTTAACACGATGACAGAATACAGTCAGCTGAATGCCTCCGGTATAAACATTCTGCACATAAGTACAGTGCAGACGTGCATTACGAAACAAACAAAGCGAGTTTGCGCTTTTGTTTCGTATCCAGCTGCCTCTTTAATATTGTTGCAGTCCCAATGACAGAGCAGTACAGGGTATAATGACATGTTAGTCTGCCAGTCGCCGTCTACCTGCTAGATCCACTCATTACAAAAGCTGTTGAGCCATATGATCCTTGAGTAGGTGGACAGACACTCACACACACACACACACACACACACACACACATACAGGTTGCTGTTTACGTGCTTTCCCAACTGTAAACACAGGTGTGTCACCCAACAGAGACATCTCTGACAGGGCACAGCCAGCCTAACATCTTCACAGCCTCGGCCTTGGTTTTACCTCTGCGCTTATTTATTTTTCCGTCCTGAGGTACTTAGACAGCAAACACCCGCACAAATCAATATGCTCTGATGGCTCCAATGGCTTCAAGAAAACCAGGTAAAATGATAAAGATGGTGCTTTGTAAATCAAAGACTAAACAGCAATGTACATCAAAGAGCCATAACATCTCACGCACCGGGCAGAACAGACAGATTCAGAATCCTGTCTCAGACGCTGATAGCGAAGAACTCAGGCCAAACCGCGGTATTTCTGGCAGGGCACAGTCAGATAGTTAACATCAATGGCGTTTTCATAGACCTAAGGGTATGGCCCCTCTTTCTCCCCATCTTTTAGTGCGTGTGCCTTGATGGACTGGACACTTTTACGGCAGAGCTAGACATTTAGCAGCTATTATTGTTGTTGAAATATGAGCCATAATAGCAAGTGTAAATCTTAAATATCACAGCGTGTCTCAGAAAAGAATGAAATCACATCACAGCATGCCAATGGTCATAATTCACAAATAACAGATAAGATTCCAGACAAATTAATTTGTTTCTAGATTACTACAACATGTATGTGTTCTAGAGTTGTGTGCTTCTACAGTCAATGATAACACAGATCGTGAGCTTAAGGTGATGTGTAAGGTCAAGTACGCTGGCTGCTCGAAAGACTGGACTACTACTTTCATGTAAACTCTGACCATAACTTAACTTATTTGGACAGAAATATACAGTATGACAGAGCAAGAATAGCTTGATTTTGACACTTACAGCTGAGGTTTCCTGCTATTTCACCATCCACAGTGCTTTCCTCTGTGATTGTACCACGACCTAAATAGTTGTGCTAAGTAGACGAAGCACGCGCTGGGCCCGGATAAAGCTTAGAGAATAATAGGCTATCATAAACATGTTGGGCAGTAATCTACAGACTTATCAACATTCTCATTGGGGCTTAAAATGGATCAGGAATTCCTCCTGTAATGTTTTCTGAAAGCAGTGGCCCTGGGGACCCACATGAGGGACAAGAAAAACATTATTAGACAGGTGTGTTGCAAACACGCAAGACTTTTTTCAATTGCCACTGATTATGTATATGTGTGCTTTGTGGGGATGGAAGTGGAGGAGGAATGCAAATGTGTAATTTGTATGGATGTGTCACTGTCTGTTGTGAACCTGTGTGTTGATAGAGAACATTTCCTTGTATGCGTTCCCAAGTTTGGGTACAGGCGAAAGAGATGATGCGATTACAAATGAGAAAAGCAACAGCAGGTGAGTGCGGGGGAAGTAAGAGAGGAAGGAAATTTGAGTTTACAGATAGCAATGACAGATTATTTTCCAGGCTGCAGTTTGTTCTGTCTGTTATGCAAATATCATTTTATGTGTCCTACAGTCAGTGTTGATGACTGCCTGCTTGTAACCACTGTTCCTCTTTGCTAACAAACTTTATTACTGGGTTTGACACACCGTAGTATATGTTGTCACGATTTGTGAGACTTTGCCACATTACATAATTTTGAGTGCCTACGACAGATGCTGAAGCAACTTTTCCACCTACCTATCTGGCACCTCTATAAATCGAGATTAGCCATTAGTACAGACAAATGCTGCTTTTTTGTATTAAATTAAATATGGTTTGCTTGTGTTGTTAGTTGTAATTTCCATGAGGTTCTCGTAATTGGTATTTACTGAAGGGGTATTGTATTAGGAAGGGTTTTTTGTTATCTTGTTCACCCTGCATAGTGTGTAAATGCTGGAGTTGGGTGTCACCACTGCTGTGTCATATAAACGCATGTGATCCAGTGACAGGTGATGCTCCAGCTGTCCCCAACCCTCCCTCTGACCACGGACAACACATGGGTCAGTCAAATGTGGGGCTGACTCAGTCAGAAGCACCAGATGTAGACATTATTCTTGAATAAAAAGTCAGTTTGTGTAGGAGATCCCTTTCATTTCTTTTTTTCCCTCTAATTTCTGAACTATATAAATAAAATGAGAACTTACCCCAACCCAATAAAGTATATTGTCTTTATCACCTGACAAAATACAAAAGATGTAATACAGCACACATGTATAAAAAAAACTGGCACACAATTTCTTTGTTCACTAAAGATGGGAAAGTATTCCTTGGACTCACTCTAAACAAATGAAATATACATTACATGTATACGACTGCAACTGATGATTTTATGTGATTTATCAATTGTTTTTATTTGAATCCATTCATTGCCTAATCTATAAATTATCCTCAGTGAAAACTCTCCTTTACCATTTCCCAGAGATGTCGGCAACATCTACAGATTGCTTGTTTTGTCCAACCAAGGATCCGAAACACAAAGATATTCAATTTATAATTTATAATGTCATGAAAAAAGTGGACAACCGTCACATTTGTGAGGCTGACATCAATGTTGTATTATTCTCTAAGAGGATTCAAACATGAAATGGGTTGTATGGGCCGTGGGAACAAAAAGGGATATTGCACACACTTTAACAAGCAACATCGGTACATTATCCACAGTACATTTGGTCTTTGAACTGTATTTCATGTACTTCCAATCATTACAGCGACTGGTGGAGACACGTACAAGTACAGAGACAACGTTGGGGAGGACACAGAGCTCCTGTTCACACAGGAACACCCTTCCTGACCACCTTCCTGCCCTCCACCTGCGGCTGTTTGTTTGTTGTCTGCTACACTACAACAAACACAGACGTACACAAGTAGACAAACAAACACGCGCACAGTGTGTACGCAGAGTTGTTTGTGCTCGTCTGCCTGTCACGTAGCAAATAACAAATAAACAAGGAGCGTAATGAGGGAACACATCCACGTCAGAACATTATAGGGGAGAGTGTACTAATGGAAAACTAATAAAGAGCTGAAGTGAGTCAACATCTTAGTGACACCATTGAGTAAAAGCAATTATGAGCCAAAATGTCACAAATCTAAGTTTGTCCTGCAAAGTAAACTAAATGTATCATGTTAACTGCTGGTGTGGTGGAACATGTCCAATTTGTATACATTAGTTAAATGAAATACATGATAAGATAAGATGAAATAAGACAAGATTATCTTTATTATCCCTGCAGGGCACTTTTTCGTAGACACTAAAGCTGCAGCACAAAGGGCAATAAAAGCATTAAGCATGTAAGCAAGAACAGACATCAGCACACGTCAGTCACATGTTTCCAGAAATGCGTCCCATATGTCTGAATTTTGTGAAGACAACTGAACATATAGTGTCTTAGTGTCTTGGGTTTGGATATTTCCCTTAGTGTACAGTAAGCAACATGCAGATTTAATATTGAAAGTTATAGCGAACATGTTCTGAATATACACTCAACATACAGCTAGAAAATATAGGTTTTCTTTTGAGACTTATGTCGAAATTTAAAAGGAAGATCAGAATTAAAGAGGTCAAAGAGAAGAGAAGAACAAAGAAGAGAAGAGAAGAGAAGAACAGAGAAGAGAAGAGAAGAACAGAGAAGAGAAGTGAAAATAAGAGAAAAGAAGAGAAGAACAGAGAAGAGAAGTGAAAATAAGAGAAGAGAAGAACAAAGAAGAACAAAGAACAGAGAAGAACAGAGAAGGTAAGAACAGGGAAGAGGCATCTGCTTTACTACAAAGGTCATTAATTCTCACACAGTTATCCTGAGCTGGCCTGAGCCGATAGAGCGATTCACACTGCCATCTGTTGGAGAGTTATAAAGCCTGGAGAAAAGCCTGGTGCTTGGTATCGCTGCATGCTCTGATTCGTGCAATATTCTACCATCGCATAATTGCTGACAAATGGAGACATGTCATGCAAGAGAGAAATGAGATACTGGATGAGGTAGACAGAGGGAGTTTTGTGGTATTCCTGACATGTAATGAATAGTAGTTAGTTATTGTGAAGTGGTGTGGCTTATTGGTCAGGGAAAACAAGGCCGGTATATACAACCAATAGTGCACTTTTGGCTGCAGATTGCAGTCCTTTGAACAGTCAATACACAGAGCACGTAGGCAAATGAAAACACAGTGACACATCTACCTCTTGCTCTTTCTTTGACAGTTACCTTGAGGAGGACGAAGAGGAGGGAAGAGGAGTGAGTATAGGGAAAATACAAGAATAGAGTAGAGGAGACAGAGGTGCGGGGCTGCCAAAAGGAAAGACTACCAGCTCCAGGAATGTCTTGGCATCTGTGTAAGACTAGGCCGCGCTATTCAACAAAACAAGATTCCTGTCATTGAAATGCTCTCAATCGCACGACACAATGGAGACATAGCTGGGACAGGAGGAGCGATAAGACGAGAGGATAACAATCGCACAGGTCACCGTCCTCGCATGCTGTAGTGAATGTGTAACGTGTTTTCCCACCACTCTGGCCTCAAAGAACCCGGTGCTTCACAACAGTGTAACACGAGACATTTTTCACAGCATCATTCTTTCTTTGTTATGGCTGTGTGCACTTACATGGCACTAGCATGACTCACATAATGGGGATTCCAATTGGAAGGGAACCATTTAGTTTTGGGTGACAAAGCAAGGTTTTAAAAAACAGAAAATATCCAGTTACTGATGTCAATTTCCTTTGTTTTAAACAGTCAAAG